CTAGTTACAAACTTCTTTCATCCAAGGCTTACACTAAAGAACAATTGTTGCAACACTGCTAACAGAACTTTTCAAAAAAGCTAACCATTACTGATGATATGCCGAGTGCCGTATTCGTTTTTTTTATTTTGAAAAGCTTTCATCAGATTTGAGTATGTTTAATCTTATATATGCAATAAGATTATGCATTACTGATACTGACACGTTTACTAATTCTTAGTATAAACTAGAAGTTAAGTTGATAGGTAACCTAGGCAACTACTCTGTAGATGAGATAAAATACAAAGCAGCATATGCAAAAAGACACAAGGCAAATGCAACAGAAGGAGAGAGAAAAAATTCTCTTGTTTTTTCTTCGTCTGTTGGTTGGAAATAAAAGTCAGAGTAAATAAATATTGTTTCAAATAATGAACTATATTTCAATCTAGTGAAGAGACATAGAGATAAAATTAGAAACGACTAATTAATGAAAATTAATGGAACGACTGAACTCGAACTTATTTTATACTCTCTTCGTACATGTTATGCTGGCTACTCATTGATATATCCATTTCTAAAAGAAAAAAATAGGAAAATATTTTTGATATGAGATTATTCCGCATCTATCTTTGTTCAGCATATCAGTTTGTTATAGTGTCATTGTAGCAAATGAAAGATCAGCTTGATTCTCACCCTTATGAGATATTAGCAAAGAGCGAAATGATCTTCCGTATCCCTGATACCTTGTTGAGAATATATGGGAAGAAAACATTTAAAACCATGATGGAAACGTAATGCGAAGAGTATTCTCAGTTAGCTTATTGCACTTTTTGTTGCTTTGACTTCGATTATAAGTAATAGAAAAGATTTCGATGAATTATACTATATAAATGTACTGCAGCATAGTTAAACTAACCAGTTACTGAGAATATAGTTATTATTTAATTTTTCAAATTATAACTTATTTTCCGTTTGGTTAAAATTCAGATGCTTTATATGCACTTCTCATTGTTTACTATTTGTTTGGGTAAAGTCAGGAACACTGGAAGAACATTTATAAATATTGGAGTCATAGAAACTTGTGTTCAGCATAATGATATCTATTTAGAGAAGTTCATTATTCATGAAAGATAATTAGTGCAAAACAACGCTTCCACTCCAAATTTTAGGAAAAAAACTATTTTTTCATTTACAAGCATTCTTTTTTATTTGCAGCGGCTCTTTTCAACTTAAAATCTCATCTAAAAACATCATTTGAGCCTGTTCATGAAAGAACACGATTTTTCTATCCAATTAACGCTATTTAAAACATCATTCGAATGCCCGTGATGTATTATTTTTTCTATGTAATTAAATTCTATTTTTTGCAACTTTTGTTACTCAAAACAACAAATGCATTGTTTACGAATATATTAGAATACAGTGTGAAGCCAAATGAATATTTGTATTCGTATTTTTAGTAAAAACATTTCTTCATGAAAAAATATCTGATAATATATAGACAAAGTTTTAGTAATATCACACTAAACAATAATGAGTATGCCAGTATAGATGCTCGTTTCTGTATTCTCTCAATATTGTGGTCAAGGTTCATTATTACCAAGCCTTGTTCTTTTTTAAAGATTCATCACTTGATTCGCTACAAAATCCTCAGGAGAAAGACCAGATCTTTAATATTGCAAGACACCAAAATATCCACCTAACACATATAAAAAATAATCTGTTTTGCCTCTCTTCGTTGGAGTTTCAAGTTAACAAAAGTAACTAACTAGCAAGTTTGTAGCTCTAATAAAATTCTGACTTTTGCCTACATTTGTAAAAGCTTTGCATCAATATCTACCACGTAAATGAATTCATTCTTTTAGGGCTCTCAGAAAAAGTTGCATAAGTCGACCAACCATGCATCTTTATAACACAGCTTTATTTCAGTTTAAGGAAAAATGAATGGTGCATCACAGTGAAACGTCAACATTTGAATTGACCTTTTTGTTTGGCCAAATTGTTGAAAATTAACAAAGTCTAAACGAATTAAAGTACGAATTCTTTCAAAAATATATTCGATCAAGATGGGAAAGTTATAGATAACATGATACCGAAATCAGAACACTCCCGACGACAAAAATAAGTACCTATTCCATTTCATTTTTTCAATACTTAAAGTGTTGTATTAAAAAACAAAACATACCACAAGATGCAGCGCGAAAAGCTCTACAATATACCAAGAACAGCTTATTTTATAGTTGCACATTTTGTTTTCAAAATGGACAAAATTTAAACGCTTCGGAAAAATAATTTTTTGGTACAGAGCGAATTCGTTTTCCTATTTCATCTATTAATGAATCATTGTTTTTAACTTTATTCTATTGCATATTTTTGTAATTGAAACACATATCGATTGACGCAAATTCGGTCATCGATTATGGCCTTCTATATGACTCATTAACCGAAGCAATAAGAAAAAGAATTCATTGTGTACCAAAACATAATCGTGTTCGTGCTGTCAAAAACTAATCGCATAGAATTTTGTCCATCTTGAAAACAAAAAGTGCAATTATAAAATAATTTGTTCTTTGTATATTGTAGTTCTTTTCATGCTGTATCTTGAGGCATATTTTGTTTTTCTTTTTAATACAACGTATTAAGTATTGAAAAAATAAAATGGAAAAGGTACTTACATTTGTCTTTGGGACACTCTGTCAGATTTTGTTTTCCTAAAAAATAATCGTATAATGTATTTTATAATTTTTAACTAAATATCTAGTGTTCCATAGTTAGAGGGTATGTGTAGATGTGGATGTGAGTGGATGCGGAAATGAATGTGGGGCTCTTCTCTTGGCTCACACCACACCTACACTCACCCTTGTCTATAAAACCTAAAAGGGTTCATAAGTATACGTTCTTCCTGTATACCCGCGGAAACTTCATTTTTTTGGTTAAGTAACTTGTTAAACTTTCTGGTAAATTCAGTAATTAACTGATTCTTTTAGAATATAAGAGTTTTCTATACAGTGTTTATGTTGTGTCGTTCTTCTTCTGAAATTAATAGCAGGCAAACGGTATTGACAAAATGAAATTGCTGAAAGATGAATGAAAATTCATTCTATTTGGGTGTGGGTGTAGTTTTTCTCTCAGCACACACGAACACACCCACACCATGCAGAACCATAAGAAGGTTCTGGGATACTCTGTTTTTTTTCTTTTTTAGTGAGAAGTATTTTATTATCATTGAATGCTTTTCACTACGCACTACTCGATTAAGCGGCAAAATATTCTGTTCTGCGCATAATAATGTATTATTTTCATAATCGAGCGCAGTCTACAAGCAAATAATCGTAGATTTTGCTCCTGATTGACCTAATTTATGTTACCGATATGATAATTTTTGTCCTATTTAACCGTGTTTTGTATTATTTATTAAACCATAAACACAAGTTGAAATTAGTTGTTGTACAAGCATTGATAATGCATTTATAGTGAAACCTTCATAACAAGCAGTAGAACATTGAAATTTGAACTGTTACGAGAATATTACCGTAGTGATTCTTATACATATGTCTAATTTGTAATCGTTGATATTGGCCTGTTATAGGATTTTTCAAAGATGTTGCGTCCCAGTCTCACTATGTCGTCATTAATTGTACATGATGTTCAATTCAATAGATGCCAGTTTATTTCAGCTGAGGGTGGGTGTAGATGTAGTTCTTTCTTACATTCACACCCACCCTAGTACATCATGTTTGGTTGAATTTGTATTTATTGTGTCGCATATTCAAATAATATATTATCGGTACGATTGAATACTTTCGAACTTGATTAAGGTGTGCATCGGTGAATTCCATTCATCTGTAACTAATTTACTTCCTTTCTTTAGGGTACTATATATATTCAGTTTTTTCAACTCGTTCTATCATTGATCGAGAATGATTTTGCTTGCTAGCTTTTGGTTTCTATTTCTAATCGTCTCAGTTTATAGCCAACGCGATGAGGAAGTTGATGTTATTATGAAAGATGTACAAAGATACTTACTTGGACTTTCAGGAAGAACTTTGACTACTAGTACTACGAGCACTGATGGAGCATTACCAAATTCCAATAAGATTGGACTTGGATACAACCCTATCTTTGGATCACCAGTTTGCTACAGTGGTGCCTGTCAGTCGGAAGGCTTTGCTCGACCAATATTGAAATTGAATTATTCAAAACGACCAATGGGCTCTTGTACAAACCTATTAATTCCAGAACATGTTGACATCGATTGTCTACCATCGACAGCTATCACCAGTAGTACTGAAGTAATCGATAGCCTCGCAAAACTGTATCAAACTACTGCCTCTGGAATAGACGTTTCAGCGTCAATAAGCGGCTCGTTTTCTGCATTTTCCTACGCCCATTCATCACAAACTCGTTCAATGATTGACACCATGGTTCGTCAAAATTCTACTATTTTATTTACTAGTGCTCAAATTAGTCACTTAAAATTATCTTCCTTCTCCCCAATGATGGACTTATCTGACAGTTTTCGATATGTGATTCAACGTCTGCCATGCTGTACATATTCTTCAAAAATCGAGCGTTATATCATATCCTACGTATTCAATTATTTTGGCTACACTTACATCAAAGACTTGTTGTTAGGTGGCATTGCTAAACAGCTAATAACTATCAGTGAAGAAGAAAAATCTAATCTTGAGAAAAATGGAGTATCTACCAGCAACTCGATTCTCGCTTCGTATGGTGGACTCTTCTTTTCCGCCTCAATGAACATGAAATATAATACGGAGTCATCTAGTGAAAAAACCGATATTTTTAAGAAATATTCGAAACAAAGCAGTTTATCAACGTTGGGTGGAGATACTAGTATTCAATCTATGGAAGAATGGTCCAAGACGATTGCCTCAAACCCAGCTGTGATCAAACTCGGCATTAGTCCTATTTTTGATTTGCTCAATGAAGACAAATTTCCAGATGATCCCAACATTAGTCGGAAGGCAGAAATGATTCAAACGACCTTGCAGAAATACATGAACAATCCAACGTTTTGTTACAATAATTGTACGAATGGAACTTGTAAACCAAGCGGCTATTTTCAATTTGGCATTTGTGTATGTGAACCAGGCTATTATGGTGTCGACTGTGCACAAGTACCAATGCCCAAGTCACCGACTGCCAGTGGTACACTCTGTGGATTTTCGTTGTCAAATAGATTTGAAATTGTTTGTGATGGCCAACAGAGCTGCAGTTCAGATTATCAATATCAAACTGATTTTTACACATCAACTGGTAATGGTAATCAACTATCGATGGGCAGTTGCTTTAGGAAGGAAGAAAGTCTACAATTCAGTCCCATTGGTACACTCTGCGGTTTTGCAACGACTGCCACACGCAATCCTCTGAATATTCTTTGTAATGGTCAACACCCATTTCATCATGCATGCCCGAAAGGTTACAAACGAGGGATGATTGGCAGTTGGGCAACATGTATTAAAACTATAGAAAAACAAGATGATTTACCTGGAACTCTATGCGGTATGCACGCTCGAAGGGAATATAATTATCAACTTCCTTCATTTGGACATTATCGTTGCAACAATTATAATATTCAAGAGGGCCATTGTCCACCGGGCTATTGGTTTGCTTCTGGAATGAGTGCTTTTTTCTATGTCTCGTCAATTGCAGATTTGCATGTGGTCAGTTTTTGCGTTAAGTCATAAGTTTTTCCAGCATGTATCAGTTTGCAGTGTCGTGATTGTGACAAGAAATATACTAATATATTCTCTATCTAGATGTGACAATAATTATTCATTTCTGTATGCGATAGAAAGATGCCATACGAAGGAAAGACTGCGAGTCAATAATAACAAGGATGTGGGTGTGGGCTGCGGTGTGTGGTCGTGGGTGTGGATGTGAATCTTTTTTCCATCTACACTCATACCCACATTCTTAGTTGCTTCCGATGATGAAGAAAGAGTAAGATTAATATATTGTTATGTACAGTTGAAAATGAGAAGAAAATTTCTTTAAAAGAAAAGATTTTCTTAGTTTTATGTGTTTCTATTTATTTGTAATGACTATATGAAATTTTTGTTTCGGACAATCGTATTGAAATATTTCTATCTTGAAACAAGCTTTCTTCAAATCTCTCTTTGCATATCAAGGATCATTTCAATATGACAGTTTGTATGTTGTCACTCTATTTTGTTTTAAAAACTATTTTTTTCATTTTGTTTTCTTAATTTTTCCAGAAAATGTTCATAAAAAAAGTGTGCTTATAATGAAAAATAGAATCGAAGAACAAACAAAGCTCGTAACCTTTCCTACACATTAACACAGGTGACTTTAGAACAAAAATGATGAAGAATTAGAATATAACGAGTGAGCTTATGATTATCATAAATGTTCAATGGTTGTTTCTCTTTAATCTAGCATTTTTATTGAGCCATGCTCTGGTGAATCTTGGCAATCTTTTATATTTCTCTTGCATAGTCACCAGAAAAATGATCGTTTGTTGCAATTGGAATTGTGAACCATAAAATGGTTATTATCAGTATTATAATGAGCGATTAAGGAATATCATTACCAATCGCATAAATAATATTGAATACACGAAGTCTATTAGAGTATGCAAATATTGGTCCTTAATCTATGTTCTTGATCTATCAAGTCTTCTTTTTTAATTTATTTGATAATCAATTCCAAATCTTTATTCAGCATGATAGTAATTTTTATGAAACGGCTTTGATCTTGATAGATTATTATTTGCTGCAGCTTCCATTGCATTTTTATATAATGTTCGATCATAATACATTGCAATCGATGGTAACTCGGTAATTGGAATACATGGGCGAAGGCGAGTGAGTATAAACGAAAGTGCAATTCAAATTCACAGCCAAATTGATTTTGAAAAGATTTGAATATCTTTAACAATCTTTTGTCATCGTCAAAGCATTTACAAGCATGTGATTAATAATTCAATTTGAGAAGACCATATATGATAATATAGATATGAATATTATTGATACCTAAATTATTAAACAGATTCAAAGAAAAATATTTCAATCATTTTAATCTTATTTCCTATGTACATTGTTTATTTGAAAAGTATTTAAAGCACTAAATTTTGCGACTTATCTAAATACAACGATACCCTTTTTTCTATCTGAATTTTCATATTCAAAGTTTGTAGAAAAGAAACTAATAACGTACAATTACGGCTCTGTTTATTGAACAATTATTCAATTTTAAAAAGAGTTCAATACTCATTACTTGGTTTTTATTGTTGTTTGTTATTTTTTGATGATTCACATGACAATCTAACAAATACTTCAGAAGAATTAATGATGACGGTGTTTGATGAATTCGGTCAAACAAAATAAGCAATATTATCTTTACAATATTTCGATCATTAATATATAGACCAAATAAGAAGGTTACAGTTAAGTTTTGATGTCTGATCACTTTCAGAAAAGTATGAGTTGTAAAGATCCGCTACATGAGAATAAAGAACTAAAATTGAGTATATACTTGATTACCTGTTCATTAGATTCAATTTTTGTTGTAATTATTTGTTCCTATTTAATAATAATACGAATTAGTTTATCTTTAGATAAATCTTGTAACTAAACAGAAAAATATTTTGATAATCTATCTCTATATGTTCATTGTTTGTTTTATTGTCATACGATTTCCAGTCATTTTTTTAAAATATTATGATAAAAACGAAGACTGTTGTCTAAAACAAAATCAAACTTTTCTCAAGTGTCATATATAGAACGTACAAGGATCACATAAGTGATCTGAATGTGTCAGGATACCTGCCAGTTCTTATTATTGATTATGCACAGACAAGCGACTTGTCAGACAAAGATTCTGTAATCATTCGAAAATAATACTAAACTCTTCGTAGAAGAGTAAGAGTATGCAATCGGTTAGGTAGTTCAGTTGAATAACAAAACTTGATTTAATTGAAGACATAATTGAGATTCTTGTTCACAAACCATTTTCAATAAAGATTTTTGGCTTGTCGTTTTTTAGCCAGCATATTTCTAGGATCGAGTAGATCTCAATATCCTAAAAATATTGCTAGTTCACTTCTTTTCTGATTTCAATTTTATTTCTTTTCCACGCGCGACCATGTATACTTATATTTATTGGAAATAAGACTAAAATAAGAATTCACAATATGAGGAAAAATACGTTCTTTCATTGGGATCGTTCGTTTCGCAAATAAAATATCGATCTTGACTCGCATTCTATCGTTACTATGTTCCACAACTATATCCCTTTCGCAATATCTGAATTGACCTCGTCCATGTCTTGTTTGCACCTTTCTTACTATAAATGGAGTTAATTATGTAGTTTCAAACTTCAAGAATGTTTGATTCCCCTTGAAATATTTATTTTTATAGTGACACAATCAAGAAGAATACTTTCGTTTATGATTACGCGTTCGCTTCTTGCGATGCACATTGACTTCAATATGAGTAACAGTAGACTACGTGATATTTGATATTCTCCTATGTTACATTAAAACGACGCTAACAAGAAAGCATCTCTAACTTCAGATACCCTTTGACTTCCAATTTTTACTGTGAGAAAAGGTCTCGATGAAACCAAGAAAAGTCTAAGATGATGGGACCCATACGCTTCACTTAACCAATATCAAATACCTTTTATATTGAAAAGAAAGCATTCTTCCCCCATTTTCTTTCCTTATCTAAAGAAAGAAGTTAAAATTTCGAATACTGTTCATAAAGACTATATCAGATTTCAAATTTTTTCATTCAAAAGGTTCTATAACTCTCGAAATATTGTCATCTTATTTCTTCATTGTTATAGCAAACCATAAAGAAAACAATAAGTAAAAAAATATATTGCCTATTTCCCCAAAAACTACGCGAATGGTAACGAAAATACAGGATGTCCCAAGGGGTATGGGTGTTCGTGTAGTTTTTTTTAAGCGATACCTAGGGATGCAACAAACCCGAACATTTAGGATTTGATATTAGGAAGTTTGGATTCGAATTTAGGTTTGGATTTGACATCTGATATTTGGGTTTTGTTTGGATTTGTTATCTAATGTTTGGATTTGGATTTGGTTTTGATACCTAATGTTTGGATTTGATTTCCCTTTGGTTTCGAATAACCCAAACGGTTTGGATTTGGGAATATAATTTTTCAGTAGTGTAATTTTCTTAGTCCTGTAAAGTTTTTATCATTTGTTTACAACTTCAGGTATCAAACTAGATTGTATGTTCGCGTAGGCTATTAGAAAACTGTTTGAGTGGAGTGTTCTTTCATTGTATTCGGTACGTATATGTCTTAGCAGTTCTGTAGTGCCATAGGTTTCTAATGCATATTTATCTGTTAAACGGCTCTGATCAAATTGTTGGTCAGAGGAATATTAAATTCTATTCCATTCAAAGCTCTTTAGATATATGATACACTATCATTTTATCTCTTTTTAAGTATACGCATAGACTGCTAAAATTGTACACTATTAAAAACAAGAAATTTATGCATTTCAAAGTATCACTTATTCATATCAACCAATATTTAATTCTTATATACTGTGTTCACCTATTTTACATCGTTTTTGCTACGTTGTGTTATGGTTCTAAGAGTTATTGATTTACTTTCTTTTTGACAGTTTAGTCGCCCAAGACTACTCTCTGAAGAAACAACTAGTGCCCACGATGTGGGAGGGAATGAAGTAGGCTAGCCCCCACTTTTTGGACTTGCCTAGGAAATTTTTCTCCTAACTGCCTGGAAAATCTGGCAGACAGCTTGTTTTTCACTAAAGCCTAGCAGAAAATTAGCAGTTTTCACAAAGTCTGCGAGAAAGTGTGCTGTTTTTGGCGAAATCTCTCAATTTATCCGTGATTTTGGCTGAATTTTGCCTGACAATCTGTGATGGATTTCTCAACATGTGTCTGCAATAAAATTCAATAATGTTTGCCAAATCATCAGCCCCTTCCACTTTTCAAAAATATAGAAAGCCTTGGAAACAACACAAGTAATAATTGCAGTGGTTAATGTACTAGTGCATGTGATGATTAATTGTGGTATTTTAAAAGGACGATTTCAATATAGTGAAAGGATCTTGAGAATACTTACAATGGAAGGGTGTGAACTGTTGAGCGAATAGACTGAGTATA